GTGAGAGAGAGAGAGAGAGAGAGAGAGAGGAAACGACAGCGTTTAAAGAGAACTAGTCGGCTACCGGATGCATGATTGTGGACATGCTGACCCTGACTTGTATATGCATGTGTCTATTTGCGCATGCCTGTGTGTGTGCGTGTGTGCATGTGTGTGTGTGTGTGTGTGTGTGTGTGTGTGTGTGTGTGTGTGTGTGTGTGTGTGTGTGAGAGAGAGAGAGAGAGAGAGAGAGAGGAAACGAAAGCGTTTAAAGAAAACTAGTTGGCTACCGGTAGCATTGTTTTCCTCGCATTTCTTACCCCTAACATTGAACGCGGCAGCATTTATTTTGTTTTATTAAATCTACTAACATGAACAAAGGTGGCGTTGAACCTGCTGCTGGAGGCTTAAGGAAAACACAGGTGGAACTACTCATGAAGAGGGTAGGAGCCTAGATGGCGCTGACACTCAGAACCGTCAGGAGTGAGTTCCACGTAAACGAACAAAGAAAGACCGAAAAAAAAACACACAAAGCCAAAAACTTGGAAAAACTTGCGAAAACTTACGAAAACTTAGGAGTGAGAACCACCTAAACGAACAAATGACCCCCCCCCCCGAAAAAAAAAGCAAAAAACAAGCCAAGAACTTGGAAAAACTTACAGGAACAAACAATGGGAAATATAAACAAACGTAAACAGAGAAAAAGAACTCCGGAAATAAACAAAAATGAAGGCAAATAAACAAACGCGAACGGAAACAAACAAAGAACAAACAAACAATAAAGTAAACAAAAAAGTGAAAAATAGGGCCTCGCTCCACTACTGACCACATGCACAAAAGACAAAAGAAAGGCAATGTTAAGGCAATGCATCTTTAATGCTCTAGCGGAAGTCGTTCTCATTTGCGCATTTGGTGAATAGTGGAGCGAGGCCCAAATCAAGCAAAAAAAATTGAAACAGGTATAACTAAACGAACGAGAAACGAAGACAGTAGTGTGGGGGAGTCAGGCAGGCCCCACGATGGGGGTTATCTCTGAATTCAAACAAACACCAGCTTGGCTGTTATGCCAGCATAATGCAGCCAGGTTCAAGCTATGCTGATAATGCTGAGTAACAGCGTAGCTTCTCCCTTAACCACCCTTCCCCCCCTCCCCCTCCCCGCCGGCGCCAAAAGAGGAAAGCCACGTACGTCGAAGATGAGGGGGGGAATTTATCTTAACATGTATTCGTGTATGTGGGCGACTGTGAGTGAGCAAGCTGGCTTTGGCAGAGGTAAGGTATGGCTCGGCACACCGCTCTTGAAACCGTGAAATGAAATGTTTCAAAAGCTGTCAGACATTTTCAACAGTTCCACTCTCAAAAGATTTTGGCCCTTGGCCACACAGCACTCTTGAAAGAGGGACTGTCATGTATGAAGTACTATGCCCTTATGTATTAAATAAAACTTACATTATAAAAGACAAACATAAATCTTTGTTTTTTTTCTGAGCTGTGTGCCTGACACCTCTTGAAAATCGAGGCTGCCAGATATTTTCAAGAGTTCACTCTCAAGAGATTTTGGCTCTTGGCCACAAAGCACTCTTGAAAGAGGGATTCTCATGCATGAAGTACGATGCCCTTGCGTATTAAATAAAACTTACATTATAAAAGACAAACATAAACCTTTGTTTTTTTTTCTGAGCTGTGTGCCTGGCACCTCTTGAAAATCGAGGGTTCTCCGAGTGCGTGGCCGAGCGCACTTGAAACCGGGAGTCTTGGGGATTTGGGCGTTTCAAGAGGAGGAACTCTTGAAACGCATTTCTAATTTTCTAAACACCTCTTGAAGGATTTTTCCGCCCAATGCTTTCAAGAGGCTGTATGGCCATGCCCAAACTCTTGTAAATCCGTTTTCAAGAGTGGTGTGGCGAGGCCCTAATTTCCCGCCCCTGCCACGTGAATGAATTTTTGCGAGCGTTGTCGAATCATACTTTATTCTGGATTATTGACCGACTCTCTTGTGACGCCTGTCGGGACAGAGACGCGGTGCGCCTTGGCTGTGGAATGCATCATCTATGCCATAGCCATTATCAATCTATTGCGACTGCCRCYGTCTGTCCTGAAGGGTGTCCAACATTTCCTCATTGTACACATCCCTATCACCCAGATATACGTTGTCCCTATTGTGCCCAAGGACGCTATGGAGGCTGAACCTTCAACAGTCTGCAGAATCGCCTAACTGATTACACTGTAAGTGGTAATCCACCTTAACCCTGGTTGTGGTTAAGCAGTCCCGACAACTGATTCCCTGAGGTGGGCACTAACCACTGCCCTCAAGGTACCTGTGGCGAAAATCAAAGCAGACTATCACTCACCCACACCAGATGGAAAACTCTTAGTCGGTGAAACTCTGACGAAACAGTTTGTCACAGCCCCTCGTTTGTTGTCCTCTTCTCCCTCTCCGCTTATGGTTTACCGGGCAGCTCTGTTTGACGATATATATACATGCGTAGGAGGCAGCAGGACTGTGAGTGAGCGAGCTGCTCGGTGAATGGGACTGTGGAACATGTGTCAGACAATTGTCTGCTGCTGCTCAGATAAGGATAACTTTTTTCTTTTTAATTGAAAAACGAAAAGGAAGAATAGGGGTCCGCTCCGTTTTTCTTGCGTTGGAGATTTTAGTATTTACTCAGTCGCTGGGGTGCAAGGGCTAGAGAAGGTCCCTGCCCCAAAAAGAAAACCATAGAAGCCGAAAACTGGAGCTCTTATTATTTATCGAGAGCTGGGCTACCAACCGGGCGGCTGCCCGGGTTACCTCGGTTCCCGGGGCGGTCCTCCCGAGCGAGGGCCAGAGAATGTCCCTGCCAAAAAAATAGTGGTTGTCTAGGCTGCCAGAATGGCCCGGGACCACTTGCCTGGCCGGGCCACAAAAAATAAAAAATAAAAAATATTTTCTAATTTTAATTTGAACTGTAACTTAATTTAAATTCGGTAAGGAATTTCGATATGACCCTGAGGCAAAAGTTGTTCAGTTTATTTTTCTGCATAACATAGTTTTTTTCCGGATTTTTTTTCCTTTTTTATCTTTTTTTCTTTTTGCTGGGACCTTCTCTGGTCATTGCATGGCCAGGCTGCCCGGGAAAACGGGGTGACCCGGGCGGCCCGGCTGGTAGCCTAGGTGGTGGTGTTTTGTTAGCGCTATTTCCTGGGAACCCCTATGAACCCTACGTTCTTCCCCCGAATACAACGGACGGTCATTATAGCTGTATATAGACTGAAAGATACCCCCAAAACAGCTATGATGACCGTATGTTGTATTCCTGGGAAGAAGGTAGTCCTCCAAATTCTTAAATTCAGCACACTGAGGATTAGCCCGGCGGTAATGTAAAAAATATGGAAAATGCTGAGCTACTGGGCTCTCCCGGTCGGGGTGCAGCATGGCCGTGCAACCCGGGCAAGTCGCCCGGACAAACAGCCTGAGTAAAATGTGTGTTTTCTCGAGATAAGCTGGGTGCACACTCTTTATCTTACTATTGGAGGGAAGACATCCATTAGAGGCGACAGCTCTGGCCGTGTTTCCTCAGAGTCTGGTGGGATCTATCTCTATCTAGTCCTGTTCGCTCTCCATGTTATCGCACCTCAGCGTCAGTAGAGACCCAGAAAGCTGCCTTCTGCTTTTTGGATGTTCCTTCCAGTGTCTATGAAAAGTTTATCTCTGCCCTATAGAGGAGAAATTCCACTCTCGTCTATCTCTAGCCTAATCTAGAAATTCCACTTTCCTATTTCGCGCTCCAGTGAACTGGTTTTGAAGGTAGGTATTCCACCAGTTGAGCTGGCCACTTTCACCGCTTTGCCCCTAAATAATAATACGATGTGTTTCATCATTAAAGTCATGTACTATAAATAAAGATGCTTTTAACGGAAGTCGTGTTGTGCTATCGTTTATTTCATGGTGTGAGCAGGCGGTGGCTAAGTAGTGAATTCTTTTCAAGGGGTGCAGATGAGCTGGTGTTGTCGGCGGTCGCCACCAGCTCGAGAACGAGCAGCCTCTCCTCAACTCGAAGTCCTTCCTGTCGTCCACTCCATCATTTGAAGATCGTCTGTAAAGAATCCCGAATTGGCAAAGCTCCAATTGCGGTGCCTAAGGGGGTTGAGTACAAGTTGGGAGAGAACTCGCTGGTGGTGAATGGTCCCCTTGGCCAGCTCTCAAGGGAGTATCCACCGGAAGTGAAATTGACAGTAGGGGACGATGGTATGTTGACTGTGGCCAGGGCGATGGACACAAGACGAGCACGCCAAATGCACGGTCTGTTCAGGTCAGTACTACCCTGAGGAAGCCGGCAACCCTCTCTCACTGATCCGTCATTCTCTCTCTCTTTTTTTCTTCCATCTTCTGTGTCTGCCGCTCTTCTTTTCTCTTTCTCACTGCATCTCTCTACTTCTTCTTCTTCTTCTTCTTCTCTGTTTCTCTCTCACTCCTTGTTTTATCTATCTCTCTCACTCTTGTTGCGTCGTTCCTCCCCAGGGAGGTTGGCAATCCTTTCTCTCCGTGATCCGGCATTCTCACTTTTTTTTCTCTCCTCTCTGTGTCTATCGTTCTCCTCCCTTTTCTCTCTCACTGCATCCCTCTTCGTCTCTCTCTCTCTCTCCTTGTTGTATCTTTATACCTCTCACTGTCTTTGTGTCTAATATCTCTCACTCTGTGTCTATTCCTCTCTTTCTCTCGTCTTGTTGCCATATCTTTGCCTCACTCTCTTTCCGTACCATACCTCTCACTCCCTTTGTGTCTGTACCTCTCACTCTCTTCGTATCTATCTGCACCGCTCAGTTTCGTGTGGATTTGTTTTGCTCTCACTGATTGCTTAAGGTGAGTTGCCGATCCCGTTTTGTCTCAGTTGCCCTCGCTTTTTCTGCTGCCGAATAAACAAACAAACTAATAAACAAACAAACCAAACTTCGCAATTAACGCATTAACAGGTTAATGGCAGGTATTTGATGATGAACGGCCTGATGCGACAGGCAAAGAAAATTCTCACACGACTTGCAGATGCAATGCTGCAGTAAAAATGAAAGAAAAAAGAAAAAACCTCCAGCGAGAAACAATCTGAAATGTGACATTGTCAATTGGATACATGGGGGCAAGAGGGGGGCGGGTGGTTGTTGTTTCCTGAAAACAAATGAGGATGGATTCACACTCTTTCTAGTTGAGAGCAGAGAACAGTTCTTTCAGTGGTGAGTGGTGAAAATCATGGTGGGTTTGCCACGTCCTGTGCACGTGTTCTGTGGTGATGGTTGGCTGCGTCGGACAAGGCCCAATGATGAGTGTTGTCTTAACCACTCCAGAAGGACGATGGCTCTCTGTGGGGGAGGTTCTCCTGTCCAACTCGTGTGTGTGGCTCCTTCGCTACTTGCCATGTGTCTGTGTCTCCCTGCTTCATCCTTATGATGATCCTTGCCCCATGTGGTGTTTCTCCTCTCTCACCCGACTTCCAGCTTCCTTTTGTGTTGCCTTTTAACTCTCACCTATCAACAAGTTGGTCTCGTACGTGCCCCCCCACTCCTCCCCCTCTCCTTTCTTTCTGTCATCTCTGGTGTGCAAGACGAGCTTGGAAGGAGCGATCCCTCCAGGAGAAATTCCCATCACATGTGGAAAACTTGGCGTAACTGAGGGTCACGACTACAACCAGCCATCCCTGTTGAAACTGTTGCAGCTGCAAGTCCACTGCAAAGCACTGAAAGTGATTTGCCACGTAGTGTTGATTGTGAAAGACATTCCCCGATGCAGACCCCAAATTTGAATTTCAGGGTCGAAGTCTCAGGCCAAGTCGGCCAGTTCAGAAAGGTCACAGTCGGGTACCTTAGGAGTCAAGTCCAACAGGCACCCGGTGAACAGTCACATCTCAGAGGCAAAGGTTCCTTCCATAAGCAAAAGTCATGTCTCATATTGAGAAGTCATATCCCACAGGCAAAGGGCACCCTCCAAGCAAAAGTCGAGTCCCATAGGTAAGAGTCGCATCCCACAGTCAAAAGTCTTGCTCTACATGTGAAAAGTTGTGACTCACAGATCCAAGCAGCAGCACACCAGTGAAAATTCGGTAGAGTACCAGGCCTTGACATTCTGAAGCAAGCAGGCCGTGGGCATGTGGTGCCAGTACCAAGTCAAGCCACAGGAACCAGAGGCTGGGACGCTGAGTAGGAGCGGATGTATTCTGAGTCAAGATTCTCAAGTAGTGAGAGAGGGAGAGAGAGCGCATGCATGAATAAGACCAGGAGAGAGAGAGAGAGAGAGAGAGAGAGAGAGAGAGAGAGAGAGAGAGAGAGAGAGAGAGAGAGAGAGAGANAGAGAGAGAGAGAGAGAGAGAGAGAGAGAGAGAGAGAGAGAGAGAGAGAGAGAGAGAGAGAGAGAGAGTCACCTACCTTAGATGAGGATGCTGGTATTGGGTTGCTAAATTTTGCGCTGTTTAGCGCTTGGTGACTGGGTCTCCGAAACTGTTTAATGTGATAATCTGTTGGAATTTCTAAGCTGCGCATATCTGGACTTTGCATCTCTGGACTTCAGTGTGGATTTCGTGTAATCTCTCAATGTGTAGTGTGCTCAAGGTGCCGAGCAGTGAGGCTCATTGCAATTGGTATCAGAGCAGATACTCGCTGCATCCGCTGGTGATGAACACTGGCATGATTAAGGCCTGCGAGGAGGAGGTTGAGAGTTTGAGAGTGGGGTTGAAGGCCGGAGAAGAAGTGGCTAGGTTGGGAGACGGTGATTACGTACCTGCATGTGAGGATCACAGTGGAGGAACGTTCAGAAGTGAAGTGCATCCCCCCCCTAAGCCCTGCATTTGCTTTGTTGAATGAGTGTCTTGGTACCTTCCCACATCTTGGTGTCGCTGTTGCTGGATGGAACACTTTGTGACAATCTGATTTTGTCTTGAGTCAGCGTTTAGTCTGACATACGTGTATGAAGTAGGTCGTGTCTAGGCTAGAAGCTCCGCAGCTGGATGTATCATCCGTAAAGTAGGGAGCATGGGCATGAGCAGCGAGCTCTCATAAAACAACTCGTCTAGCCCTAAGATCGATACAAACTAGCATGCGATCGAACCGGAGCTGACGCAGTGAGGAGCTATAAGTCTTGAGAGAGAATCTTTAGATCCTGGTGGGCACGACGTCCTGTCTGCGTTGTTAAATAATTCCTGAGGTCCTTGCTTGCTGACCTTAAGCTGCTGGTTGCCCACCAGCCTGACATGGTAGCCATAGTGACACTGTGGGGGGGGGGAAAGAACTCAGGTCATGCTCCAATCTAGATCAGATAGTTTAGGTGTTAAATCTAAGTGGTGAGGAGGTGTAGGCTACTTATCTGTGTCTTCAGTAACGATGGATGACTACCCAATGTTCGTCGTGTTGACCCTGTCCGTGCTATAGGGTCCACTCCTCCGCTTCCTGTTTCCATTGGGGTTCCACCGGACTTGCAGCATGAGTGTTACCATGCGGTCTGGTGGGTTCACGCAGCCATACACAGGAGAGCAGCAAGCTGAAATTGAAGGAAAATTGGCTGAGAAGAAGCAAGAGGTGGAGGATAAAAAGAGAAAGAAAGAGGAGATAAAAAAAAATTGGAGCAGGAAAGGAAGAAGATGGAAGAGGAGAAAAAAAAGATTGAAAAGGAGATGAAAAAAAAGGAAGAATTGAAGAAAGAATTAGAAGAAGAAGAGGAGGAAGAAGAAGGAGAAGGATTTGAAAGAAGGATAGCTAGACAAGAAAGAGAGGTGGAAGAGAGCAGCCATGCTGGAGAGTTAAGATTATGGCAGGTGGAAGACATAGACTGGGTGGCGAAGTTTGGGTATTATACAAAGATGGCAGATGGGACGGAACAAGAAAAAAATGCATTCACCATCAAGATGGCATCTGCACGAGATGAAGAGGAGAGACTTATACTGTTGGAGAAGAGGAGGAACACCCTTGACCAACGTTTGGTCCAACAAAAAAAGGAGTATGAGGAGAAAAAGAGGTTGAAGGAGGAAGGGGAAAGGCCTCAAGCCCTGTTGAAAGAACAAAAAGGGAAATAAGTTGAAGTTAAGGAGAGTTTGGGCCTCCTCACTGACACATTGGTGCACACCACCCAAGAGCTGGCTGCGCTGCAGAAATCTGTTGGAAAGATAGAAAGGCATCAGGAGGAGTTCCAAGGAAAGTGGAACAACTACCTGAGTGCCTCCTTCCACATGGTCGGCAAGAGAATAGTTGACTACGCTCATCAATTAGACAGAATCTTCACTCAAAATTTGCAGAGCACCATCGTGTTCCTAGTAGTAGGAGGTGGCGGTGGTGGAGGAGATGGTGGAGATATTGACGATGATAGGAAAGGAAAGGGTCCCATGAAGGATGGAGGAAGAAAAGGAGGAAAAAATAAGTCCGAGGGAGGAGGAGGAAAGGAGGAGAAAATAGGTCCGAGGGAGGTGAGTGAAGGGAAGAAATGAAGTTTAAGATCCCTTGGACGTATGCGGAGAAGAGGGAAGAGAGCTCCTATCTATCTGTATGCGCAATTGATTCCGTATTGGGACCGCGTCTTTATGGCGAGTTCGTGCCTAGGGGGAGATGCAGCAAGTTTAGTTATTTCATTAGTGAAAGAGGCAAGGTGCATCTCGATGGTGCGGTAGCGAACTAGGATAGAGGACTTCTTCAAAGCGTTGAAAGACCGGTTCAAAGATAAAAACTTAGCTCCCCGAACAGAGTCCCTTATCCTTAACATTGGTGACCGTAAATGGAAGAGTGCGTCGGCACTGAAGGCCATCATGGACGAGTTGCTGCAATATTCGGATCATGGATTAACCCTCGCTCAAATTCTTAAGAACTTTGCTAGAGCGCTGCTAGACCCCGTCAAGACCCAGTTATATCCCCATAGCAAAAAGGAAGGGATGACTCACAAAGAGTTTAGTAAGATAGCTGTGGACCATGCTGGTTTCCTCCTAGAGGCAAATTACTGTCATCATTGGAAGGACTTGCAGGCCAGCAAGAAATGGAAAAATAGGATCATGTGCGACAATATCGAGGGGAAGGATAATTTGTTGGTCACCTTCTAGGAAGCAGGTTTAGAGTCGTTGCCATATGACCATATAGATTATGGTATGGATGAGGTTAACAACAACCATGTAGCCTGAGGAAGGGACTATGCGGCTATTCGAGCCCGTGGGGGAGGGCGACAAGGTAGAGGCAAGGTAGAGGAGGCCGAGGCTGAGGACGAGGTGGAGGTTGAGGACCCGCTGCCTAGAGGGGTGGTGGCGAAGGTAGCTACTACGCGGGAGGTAAGTGTTATAGTCCCTCACAAGGT